GTGCCACTGAATGCCTCAGTGTATGTGTAATCCATCATTTCTGTGCTATGTATCCCCCAGACCAGATTTAACAGGATGGGTGTTAAATCTTGCTGGTTATTGATTCGAATGGGAGCATCCTAAGACAATATCCAAATCATACAGGAAGTCTGTGATGGAGCTGGGGTATCCTGAGTTCCAGTTCAGGGAAGAGACCAATCTTATCCTTAGAATGGACTCTTAGTAACGCACTTAAGCTAACACCAACTGTTTCCATTCAAGGTAGTTTTTAGTGACCTGCATCTCAAAAATACTTTGAGCAATTTTCTATATACAGGTACAAGCCAACCAACAAGGATGAGAGTAATTGACAAGACATTGGTGTTTGTGTTTAATAATGGGTGAACAAATGGAAAGAGTCTGCGGTGGGATCTGTTACCCATATCCAAATTAGAGGTTTGTGAGGGATTTATAGCCTATATTAGAAAGGCTGGGTTGTTGGGTATGGTGGTTGGTGTACAAGGGTTTCTGGTCATAGACAGAAGCTACTCAGGGATATAAAGTCATATTTAACATAGTTTTGGAATATGCATTATGATTTTAAAACCAATGCATACAAGTAAAAAAAAGAGTGTGTCAACTGTACGTCTATTTGAATGTTTACCTACCTTCCTTCCAAATTCACTGTTTTAAACGGCAACATTTCTAGATTATACAACAATAGCAGCAACCTTCATTTAAAGTTCACAGTTTTTGTCTGCTCATTAGAAACAGAAAATTAGCAGTCTAAAAAGAGAGAATAGTTTATATATTTTCTTATTCATTAAAGGAATTACAGATCCAGACATCTTTCATTCTTAATTCTGGTCAAAAGGGGGACAGCTATTCAAATTGTTAAATAATGATGTAAATATAAACTGTTTCTTTACTTTAAAGAAGAAAAATAGGTTACTATAGGTTAATAAAATGCAAATTAATATAATCATGGCTTGCTGAAAATCCAGTACACTGGAAAATATTCTTTAAATACAGAATTGTTTAGAGACATGAAACTCTTTACTGGTATTAGTTGTTAATCAAGTTCCTGATGCACATGTGGTTATTGAGCTCTGATCAAAGAATTACATGAAGGAGCCTCCAAATAGAAAACAAGAGAGGCAATGCAATGCATTCCTCCCAGAATGATAATGCATAACAAATAATCTCCCACATTTATAAGTGAGAGACAAATCTGTTATCAACATTAAATATGGTGAAGAAGCCTGGCTCCTGTTTGCACTGCATTCATATAAAGGTGATGGTGACTTTGTTTCATTTTAAGAAATATATGTAATATAGAATTATATAAAATAAAATATAGTATTAAACTAACAAGGTGATTGAATTAACAAATGAAAACTATTAAATGTCAGATTATATCTAGCCTTTCTTCTGAGTGAAAGAAGAATGAACACTACCATGAACACAACATATTCAAACAGAAAGTGCAAGCTTGAAAGGGACTTAAAGAGAACAGAATAAAATACAAGTGTATATGCCCTTATCTCCAAATAGCAATTTTTTACAAAATACACATCTCTATCCAAAAACCATTCATGGATCTCAGAATATTGTAATATTGAATAAGTACTATGTCCGTTACTGAATTTAACACCACACTTAAAATCTGTAGGGGTTCCCTGTATATTTTATGTCTGTATTTACTGGTGTTCTTTCTTGTAAATATTAATATACAACACAGATTTTATAAAAATAATCTGTAGTGTTATTTAAAAATATGCTGTTGCTTAAACAAACAAGTGCCAGATGGAAGCTCCATGAAAAACAGTAAAATACCTACTTTAATTCCAGTCTTAGCATTATCACTATTTTTACACTGGAAATGGGACTTGGCTGAAGTAGAATGTGTAAAAAGCCCCTGAAACTATTTATTGGTCAATTTAATATTATTATTAATATTTTGCCTGAAGTGCAAAAGTCCATTCAAGCAATCAATTTAGTTCCATGAACTGAAATCACAACCATAAATATTTGATTTTGATTTGCTTAACATTAAACTCTAACATTTTTTCATATTCCTGCTTGTTTGCCCCCTGAAAACATCTATGGTTTCATCTAGTCTCCCTCTTCTGCTTCATTACTTTCCATGTATAGTCCTAAATTACAAGTTAATATACTTATATGTTGAAAGCTATGAATTCATATAACAGATTTTTATGTCGAGTGATTTTTTTTTACCCTGCAAAAAGACAAACCATAATTTGATCAAAGATTGTTTTCAATGCTATGTTTGTGTTAATAAAAATATAACTGTTAAGGTAGGCCTCGGATTGAATGGATATATGCTCATATTGTTTAATTTAGATTTACCAATAAACTTCTAGATTCCTGTTACCCAGGAGTTAGAAATTGAACCAGAAATAACCTTTTATTACATTACAGTTGTGACTGTTCTGAGAATATTACCAGCCTCACTGTGAATTTACATTAAGCAAAAGATTAATAAACACCACAAAAGACCTTTAAGGTCTACACAAATTTACTGAAAATGAAATGCTGCCAAACTGTTATATCACCTCAAGCGAGTTACTCAAAGGTCCCACACACGGAGGGATACAGTGTCTGTTTTAGGTAACATCCTCTCACTAGGTTCCTTGAAATTTTGCAAACTCTTATGTTCAAAGTCACATAACTATTCTGGTTGACACACTTTAGGAAAAATGTGGGCAGACAGGAGAAAATCCAGAGGGTAGCCACTAAAATTTTAAAAGGATTATAAAACCTGATCTATGAGGAAAGGATAAAAAATTGGTACATTTAATCTTGAGAGAAGATGCCTTGGGCGGTGGGAGGGGGCGGAGGTTAAGAGCTGTTATAAAGAGGACAGTGATCAGTTGCTCTCTATGGTCCCTGAAGGTAGGACAAGATGTAATGGTCTTAATCTTTAGCAAGGGAGTTGGAATAAGCCTCAAAGGGAGGCTGGAAAATGCTCATGATTGGAGGTTTTTAAGAACAGTTTAGACAAACAGCTCTTGAGGATGGTCTACTTGATTCTGCCTCTGGCTGGACTGGATGGTCCAGTCTCAAGGTCCTTTCAAGTCCTATGTTAATATGACTCTACAAAAGAAATCTAGAAGTCTGGTATGTAAATTAAGCGTATGTAAGTCAAGTGCCATCATGGCCTTTTAGATGGAGATAATCTGGAACATACTGGTACAGTAATTACCCTGTATTAAAGCAACCAGTATATTTCTTAGTCACTGAGCTGTCATGGTCGTTTCATGGTCTCCTTACCACATACGCAGCAAAAATGGGTTTTCAAATGTTAGTTATTGTTGAATGAATCAGTACAGAATGGTGTCACTTTATGCTCCTTTCTGCATTTGGGGGGGTTCCAATAATAATCCCCATATTCTTCCTCTCTCATTTACAATCTGCAATATCTGTGTGTTTGAAAATGTTCCTTTAGGACACCTTATTTCATCTCTTGTCAGTCTTAATAGTTTTAAACACTTTGGAAAAGAGATGCCTTGAGAGCACTTAGTGTGTGTTAAAATCACTAATCTCACAAATAATATATTTTAGAATTGTATGCCTGTCTACATGTGTGACGGCGCGTTGGGGGTCCCCCATCTCCTCCATGCTCCCAGACAGCAACTAACCCCCACTCTTCCAGCCTTGCCCCCCAGCCAGGGTAGCATTCCACCTTCCTTTGTTCCTCTCCATGGGGGGGTGTCTGGTTCAACAGGTTTGGCATCACCTTTGCATAATGAGGTTTTCCCTGCTGGGTCTTGCTCTAGACAGCAGAGGTCACCACAGCCCAGCAAGTACCCCCACTACGTCACAACATGAAACAGTATTTAACTGCCTATCATCTACTATGTCTATGTAGCATTTTGAAAGGAGTTGGAGCAAGCCTCCTTGCCTGGATCTGCAGACTTGGGGCAGGATTTACTCTAGTGCCCTAAAAATGGTTGTATAGGCAATGTTTTGAAGTCACTGCCGAAAACTCTGATCCCATGTATTGGGCATGCAGACACCCAGAAGAACACATTTGTGCAACCACTCAAAGAACCACCACAATACTTTTTTACCTAAATTAAAATTTTTCACAAACATTTTCACTTTTGATAGAAAGTTCAGTTTCCACAATAGCTCTTATATTAAAATTTAAAAATACAGGGTAAAAACTACAGGTCAAATCCTGACTTCTTTTAGAAGTTAACGAGCATTTTTCCTCTGACTTCAGTGAAGCCAGGATTCCACCCTATGAAAACCATAGTGAATATCTCTCAAATATCTAGTTTCTTTTCATGCATTTGGAAAAAAAGAAACTAGGACTAGAAGCTTTAATGAATTATTGGAATACTTGTTTTTAAATAGGACTTTTGCTCATAAAGTGGTACCAATAAATTCTGGGCATCCTTACATAGTGGTCTGAATTCAACCTTAGTTGGCACAGAAATTTTCTATCAGAGAGCTGCTGCACCCTAAAAGGATTTGCTTCCTGAGATAAGAAGTGCCCATTTCCAGGGCCTAGTTTAACTGCGGGCTATATAACTGCCATGCAGGAGAGGCTACACTGGGCATACATCAAATGCCCACTCAATCCACACACTTTTGGGGCTGTGTTGACCACCTCTGTGGTTCCCTCATGAAGAGGTGGTTTCAGGAGCATTGTAAACGATCTACAATCAATGGTCTCATGTTAGTGTTTTTTTGTTTTGCCAATGGAAGTAATCTTGGCCTGCTCAGTGTACTAAATTGTCAGTAAAAAGATGTGTGCATGCAGATTCCATTAAATATATTGTTAAATTGAATAAACCCGTATTAAATAATAATTACATATCATAAAAAAGGATAAGCACCTACTTGAAGGAAAAATAAGACTAACGGAATAATATCCTCATCCCAAATTCTAAGTTTACCTTTTAATAGGACAGATAAATACAATTATAAAGTTCAGTATGCTGCTCTTAAAATAAGTGAAACGTTCACGGAATCTTGAAAAAAATATTTACCTCATTATCAGTTCCCACATCCAGGATTACAGGCAAACACTCCTGTGGTTTCATTCCTCCACATGCCGTGTAAAGTGCCAATTTACCAACTGGGATGCCCATTCCATAACAGCCAAGGTCTCCAAGGCCAAGAATACGTTCTCCATCAGTCACCACAATAGCCTTGATGTAGAAAAAAGAGTACTATGAAATATTTTTTTTCTGAAATGTGGAGTACTTATAAAAAGCATACTTAAACTCCTAAACACACTTTTTTGTTTCCATTTTAAAGTTATTACTATAAGCACACACTGAATTATAGTAGAGTAAAATTCCTGAATTCCTTCATTATATTTTATTACATTTTCACTTCAGTTATATTGCAATTTCACTATGAAAGGTTTTCCCTTTTCTGTTCCACTAAAGCTATGTCTGGACTGCAGATTTGCATATCTTTTTCCGTTTTTTTGGAAGAGGCTTTCCCAAAATTTGGCCCAGCTACGGGGCCAAATTTCAGAAAAACCTCCTCCTTCGGAACATCCCTTATTCCTCATACAATATTTAATAGGAATCCATGGGGCTATAGGGAAGTTGTAGGTGTTGCCAGGGTCATATACGTGTGTCTGGATTTTTGGAGACTAAGACAAAGAGTTGCTAGCATTGTGCTGGCTCTTGTTGGCAAGACAGAAAGTCAAATTGTACTACACCTGACTATCAACAGATATATGGGTCATCGTGACAAGCCAGGGGATGCCCAAGGACAAATGAAGAACTAAGTGCTCCTCAGGGTGGAAGCTCTCCCGCAGAGCCTTCTGGATACTGACAGCCCCCCGATGGACCTCCCGGATGGCAGCTTGCAGAAAGGTCAGCCAGGCTGGTAGCAACGCGTCCACGAGAAGCACCAGAGTGCCTAGGAGCAGCTCTGGCTCCATGTTGCAGAGTGCTGTGGTGTCTTGAGTGAGGGCAACTAGAGCACTCAGAGACACAAATGATTTGCTGTCCCTCATTGAGGTAGGCAAGCAAGCAGGGACACCTGAGAACCGGCTGCCCGGGGTTTCCCTGTAAGCACAGACCTCAGATAGCCTTAGGCAGCAGCCTCACACAGTAAGTTTTGACCCGATGCCCTGCCTGACCTGGTTCCGGATGGCCTTAAATGTGAATCAGTGTCCACTCAGTGTGGATGCACTATTTCAAAATAGCAAAATGCTATTTTGAATTGCATTTTGTGTGTAGAGGCATTATTTCGAAATATTTTATTTTGAATTAAGATATTTTGAAATAACGCTGTAGTGTAGAGTCCTAAGCCTCTATAAATATTGCTGCTGTAGCCCAGGGGTTAATCCCCTAGAGGCTTAAAATAATACATCAGAAACAACCAACTCTAGAGAATATTAGAGTTCAAAAAAGATCATGAAGCTGGATGGAGGAGTCCAGTCTGTTTGTAGTGCTATTAGGGCAATTAAAGGAACAGGGGATGTTGGGAGCCTGGGAGCCCGGGAGCCCTGATGAGGCCATTAAAGTTGAGGTTTGTTGTCTGGTCTAGTGGTTAATTGTCTTTCTTTGGGTGCAGAAACAGATTATAGGTATTGTGAAATATCTTTATTTTTCATTTTCTCACTTTTATGTTTGTAATAGATAAGGTTGAGATATATATAAAACACACCTAACAGTATTCTCGTGCACTGTTTTTATAAAAGATATCTGTGTTGACTCTAGTAATGCTTAGCAAATGTTGATTTTAATAGTTTCTATCACAGCACTTTAATTGCAAACAAGACTATAGTATATCTGTCCTTGCTAAAACCTTTCAGCTTCTCCATATTCAGATACTATTTGTGTGTTTCCATATAAAGTACACATGTACATGGCAGTTACATAAAACAAGCAGAAAATTAAAAATGTGTCAACACAAATGCTGAAAATGGAAAAGACAACTTTGTCTGCATTCCACAAGTCAATGCAAGATTAAAAGCTGCATGCTGTGGTAAAATCTCCACACAATGTTGCTGTTATAGAACTATTTAAAAGAAACCTTAAAGATCACATATGGAAAAATCTGTTGCAAAGTAATTCTAGAGTACTCCAAGTCAGCACATTTATTCTGTTTCCGGTAAAACTCACATTCACAAGGAAAGGTAGACTAAGCAGTAGAAATTAATGTATTACACTAAAATGGATAACTTGAGCATCTGTAAATTTCAATTATTGTTTATTACACTGTAACCAAATCTGATCTTGTAAATTTAAATAAAAGACATAGGTTAATGATCACTGTGTATCGCATAAACATACTGTTTATGTGGATATTTGGACCACTCAAATGTTACCTTACTAAGTTATTTCCATGTGTGTTTTTTTTAAAAAAAAAACAGCTATTAAAGTTGCTCTAGACAGCTTTAAATGGTATAAAAACACTTATTTGTTTACTGGATATTAACATTTATTGACTTCAGCTGCACAATTTAAGGGCTCAAAGACAAAAAGTAGGTACTCTCCAAAATTAAATATAGAGTGAAAAAAAATAGTTACCTGTATGAGTACCTGGACATTCCTGTTTAACCAACAACAACAATTTGAGACAAAGTAAACTAGGATACAAAACAATAAAATAAAATTACCTCCCACCACCTATTACTTACAGAGGTACTTTGATCTGCAGATCTCAAAGTGCTTTACAAAGATGGGCAAGCGCCATTATCTCAGATGGTGAAGAAAAAAAGAGAAAGCACAATAGAAAAGGACAGAATCCTGGTTTATAACAACAATTTGGATGAAACTGTATTTTCTAAAAAGTTTCTAACCATTGTTATTGATACAGATGTGACTCACTTATACTATCATGTATTTTTAGGATCAGAACAGACATTGTTTATTTGATGTTTTAAAGGAATGAATAATTTTCACACTTTATTCCATGACAAGCAGCAGCAGGTAGAGAATAAAAACAGTTTAAAGACAACTTTTAAGAATCAATTAAAACTGAAATTGCTTTGCTTATAAAATGCTTAGCAGATCTTTTTTTCATTCTGAGATATAAAGATTTCCATACTTAAGAGATATCGTATTTGGAAGTTAATTGATCCACATGTAGTGATCTTTCAGTTATAAATAAATAATTAAAGCAGTCCTTATATTCAATAACCTTTAAATCACATGAGGCTGAATTTAATTGGAAAGTTCTCGGATTGAAAAGCTCAACATTCAGAAGCTCCAACTGGAAGTGCCTTTGATGCAACAATAACTTAAGAAACCATTAATTAATGCCATCATAATGATTTAATTTGAATTAAAAGTGGTAGCTAGTCAAAACATTTTAGTCAGAGTTGCACAGATACGACCAAAACCAACTTTGCCATGCAAATAAAGTTTTGGGACTGGCTCTGTTCAATATCTTCATCAACGATTTAGATATTGGCATAGAAAGTATGCTTATTAAGTTTGCAGATGATACCAAGCTGGGAGGGGTTGCGATTGCTCTGGAGGATAGGGTCATAATTCAAAATGATCTGGACAAATTGGAGAAATGGTCTGAGGTAAACAGGATGAAGTTTAATAAAGACAAATGTAAAGTGCTCCACTTAGGAAGGAACAATCAGTTTCACACATACAGAATGGGAAGCGACTGTCTAGGAAGGAGTACGGCAGAAAGGGATCTAGCGGTTATAGTGGACCACAAGCTGAATATGAGTCAGTAGTGTGATGTCTCCTCCCTTAACAAGTAGAACCGTCCTGAGGCCCCTCTTGCTGGGCCGTGCTTACAGACAACTGCCAGTGGGGGTCCTCCACAGCCCACTCCCAAGCATAGCAATCAGCAAGGTACTGACACTACATCACAACATTTGGGCAAGTCAGTGAGAATCACACATCACAACACAGGGGGACCCCGGGATACAGAGCAGAGTGCACCCCCACTACTCCACAACATGATAGCAGTTTTCAGGTATCTAAAGGGTGTCATAAGGAGGAGGGAGAAAACTTGTTCATCTTGGCCTTTGAGGATAGGACAAGAAGCCATGGGCTTAAACTGCAGCAAGGGAGGTTTAGGTTGGACATTAGGAGAAAGTTCCTAACTGTCAGGGTAGTCAAACACTGGAATAAATTGCCCAGGGAGGTTGTGGAATCTCCATCTCTGGAGATATTTAAGAGTAGGTTAGATAAATGTCTATCAGAGATGGTCTAGACTGTATTTGGTCCTGCCATGAGGTCCCTTCCGGTCCTAGTATTGTATGATTCTATGAAATGGAACTTACTCTGATGACATCTTCAGGCCACGATTTAAGCATTGTAGCAATGTGCCCCCGGTCATGGATGGTGATAAAAAGACCTCTGCAAGTAAATGTATAAAGGTATTTTATATTTCTACATTATATGAACATTAATTTAAACATTTTATTATTTATTTAAAGGTCTATTTAATTTACTCTGAATCATGCAGATATATTTTTAAAATACCTGTATATCATAAAAACAATCACAGGAGAAAATTTAACTTTCAATAACAAGCTGTTCAGAGATGAAAGCCTGTGACAAACATTTCTATGAGGTAAATAAAAAAAGTGTAATTTATTATGAAATGGTTTTATTCTTAAAACTGACCCAGCACTTGTTAAGGAAAAGGACTGCAGATTTACCCACTCAAATGTAATCTCTCATTTGTTTTACTTAAAAATACAGGATTTGATACCATGGCTAAAACAGATAAAGCCATTATTAATAAGAAGACTGAATTGAAAACACAGTTAAAATTATGCATGCTATAGGATATTTGTCTCAAACGACAAAATAAAATTAATATGTAGTATATGCTACAAGAACTTTTCATGTATATCTACAATATATATTTGGTAGACTGAAAAATAATTGGCCAATTCTTATGAACTAAAGTATAAGTATCCATGAAATGCTGTAGATTAAACAAAAATTATAAGAATGCAGGAGCATTTGCCTACATTATTATTATTATTTTAATCCACCAACCTGTAGGGTTAGATTGGGTCTGATACTAGAAGGAGTAAATATCCTGTAGTTTAATTTTAATTTAGCAGAATGCTTGAAAATTGTTATGTAGCACAGCTAATATAATGAAATATATGCTAATGAGCTACAAGTATTATTTAATTCTCTAATACATTGGGGTTTTTTTAAACCATCCTATAGTCCTTTTGCATGCAAAATTACCTCAGCTCCAATACTTCAGGGGTAGCCGAGTTAGTCTGTACAGGATAAACTTAAAAAAACAAGTGATCTGGTAGCACTTAATAGGCTAACGAAACATGTAGATGATATCGTCTGAAGAAGTGGGCTGTGCCCACGAAAGCTCATGATACCATGTACATGTTTTGTTAGTCCATAAAGTGCTACCAGACCATTTGTTGTTTAAGTTTACTCAGCTCCAATGGCAGTTATATGCATATAAGAAATACAATATTGTCTCATGTCTCATGTGAGATGATGGCTGATGCCCTAGCTTTAAACCAAGACAACAGTAGAAGACTCATTGACTTCTCAGTTAAAAACCAAAGAGACAATGACAAAAATGAAGACTACAAGTTACAGAGGACTGACTATGTGTCCCTACGTATTTTCTTTTAAATCAGTGTTGAATGGTAAAGAGATATAAAGTCATATCTTTTAAACTATTCTGATCTTTTTAATACACTTGTTTATAAATAAGATAGTTCATCAATATAAGGTTCATAACATTATATGAACCTTCCATCCCCTGCCTTTGCTGCTCAGAATTCTTCCTAGATGACTGTCTAGCTTAGACTCTGAGGAAGTGGGTCTGGCCCACGAAAGCTCATCATCTAATAAACCATCTTGTTAGTCTTTAAAGTGCTACATTGTCCTGCATTTTGCTTCAACTACCCCAGACTAACACGGCTACATTTCTATCACTGCTCAAAGAGAGACTCCCTTATCCAGAGTCAAATTAACAAGCCTCATTGCCTCAGTATATCTAAAATGGTTCCATGCAAGTTAATTCATGGAACCACTATTAAATATTGCTAACATAGGATCAACAGAAAAATCCTGCCGTCCCAGTAAAAATACAAAATATAGGTGCATATATTCCTGCTTTATTCTATTAAAGAGTTTTGGAAGATCTATCAATATACAATATAGGACATGCTATTCTAGTTTGAAAATTAATTTATATTTTTCTTCAATATTCTTGTAGACTGTACTTCCACCACAGGTCTCCACTGTTAGCTAAATGCATCTTTCTATTAACAAAAGTTTACATATGCACCTATTCCACACCTTTGTGGTACTTTGAACATACTGTATATATATCCAATTGACATGACAAAATTGCTTAAGTCCAAAAACTCCTATCCAAAGGAAAAGTACAGCACATTCTGTTTTCTTATTCTAGAAAGAGGAAAAGCAAGCAAAACTGGGTGCATTTCTAAATAAATACAAAAATCAACCAAGGACACACAATGTAAGACATCACAATAAAAAAATGGGACAGAGAAGAAATCTACAGCTTGTAAGTTAGCATTGCAGTGTGTTAACTCATAAGGTTTTGTTTGTTTGATGATGCTCAGCATATTCTTTAAAAAGTTGTAAATAACTGTGTCCATTCTATAAATCACCTAAAGCGTAGTATTGCTTGGTATAGCATCCTGGAGTTTAAAATTACTCTTGATTATAAGCACACCAAAGAAAACAATTAAAAGTGTAACAAAAGAGCTATACAGCCATCCTTCTTTTAGGATTAAACTGACCTAACATGTTTGCGTTAAATGAAGCAAAAAGCGGTTTAGATTTTCTAAAGAGCTTGATTCCAGTCCAGAGTGGTAATGTGACCTTTCTAAATCCGTGGAGCAAGGTCTCACTGGAATGGATTTCTTGACAGTGGGAAATAAAAGCAGTATAGCTGTATAAGAGATGACTTTGTTAAAACATTTGTAAGGAACTTTGCAGAAGTATGGCATGTTCATTTTAGAAAACTGTCCAAGTGGGACAGCATCCAAACAACAATGAAAAATAGGGACCAAAATGTAAATATAGGAGTCATGCCCCCACATTTTTTTCTCTCTCTATTTTCTTGCTGCTTCTTTCTACTTGTTTCTGAAGGCGGCATTTCTCTGATTGCCAAGATACCCATGGTATTAGAGAGACAATTTTCTTTGGTCTTTTTTATTTCTTGTCTCTATAGCTTTATATTCAGTCTTCCCTCTCCTTTTCTTCCTCTCGTATTTTCTTGTCTCCTCCTTTTCTAGGACTTTCCAGAATCCTCTTCCCCTAATCACACTTCTCTAACACTGTCTTACACAAACAGCTAATTTTAAGGCCTAATTCTGATGTCAAATCAGTGTTACATTAATGTAATTATAACACTATATAACCTATAAGGAATATCCAGAGCATACTACTAGAGTTGAAAGCATTTTGACAAGTCCTTTTGTGTCTTAAGAGGTGCTCTGGTCTCTTAACTATTCAGTCCAGCAGAGACTTCACCAACCTGAAAAACACACATACTGTAACCGTGCTTGAAATGTTGGCTAGTTTGACAAAAAGTGAGATTTTTCATCCGGCATCCAGTTATCCTCATACTCCCATCTGAGAAAGGAATATTAGAATTTTTTCCCCTATGTAACTGTAATACCAGATAAATAGTACCAAGCAACAGTGAAGTCTGAGAGTTTGCTTCGTAAGATACCAGCACAAAACGCTTCAGCACACTGTATAAGGTACCTTTTTGGACAGAGCCCAGTGTCTCAGAAAATGCTATTTAAAAACAAACAAAAGGCCATGGACACTTTTTGGCTATTTAACCATTTTTTCATACTTTTAATGTAGAAGTTGATGCATCAGGCAGTTGTTTGGTCAGCACTGCATCCCCACATTAACAACCAATACCAAAATATAGTTATGTTGTAAACAAAATACCATGGCAAGATCCTGGGCCTCATTAGGGCTGCTTTGATCACTTCAGGTACTTCCGAAAGACACAGAGTTGGTCCTTGGGCAGCTCCATATGTGCTTTGCTCCCATTGAGATTTGTATCAACCCATTCACAACTGCATAACCTGCCTGTGACTACTCCAGCATTTGTTTAAATGAAAAAATTGTATTAGGAAAGGATATATTTCAGCCTTCTTAATTAAATGTAGCAGGTAGAAACAAAGAGGAAAGCCAGCATCATCTGATTAGCCAGTTATTTGGTGACCTTTACTGCCCTGTGGACCAATAGTGCACATATCCCCATTCCACTTTCTCCTTCCCCACAAGAGCTCAATGAGCCCCATAAAGTGGGGTCAGAATCAATGGAGCACTGAGTGGGGGTTGGAGGCTCATTTGTACAATAAGATCTTCTCCCTGATTAGTTCTGCATTACTCACCTGTGAAGCAAATACAAATTCCCATAACAATTATTTGCTCACTGGGTAGGATTTTTGTTGAGAATGTACATTTTATTTGGTGGCCCAGAAAGCTATCAGTTTGCGTTTATGTGGCTCTCAGCAGGCTTCAAGTTTGACATGCCTGTTCTAGAAGGAATGATGTAAGTATATGGTATGGAAATATGGATGTACATTCCCTATCTTATGAAACTGGGGTGTTCGTGACTGTGCTAGCTGTATTAATAAACTATATTTGTAAATATACAAGAGTTCCTATAGTGTTGCAACTATGCACATCAGGGTTCCCAACCATAGAATAGGCCTGATCCTGGGACAAAGAACTTGTCAACCCTAAAGATGGCAATTAGAAATTAAAATGTAATCTTAGATCAGGCAACGTGAGTATGTGTGCAAACTGTGATTTTTGAAAGATTTATAAGTTGACTAAATTTGAGCAGATTTTCAAAGCACAATCTCTGACACCCTGCCAAATTTCAACTCCCACCTCCAGTCCATGAGAGAGCCAGAACTTTCCAAAGAAAAGGTCCCCAGAATGTTTTAAAATTTGAAAATATTTCCCGCCAGCTTAGTTCTCAGACATAGATGAATTATTTTGGCTGGAAACTTTCTGGGTGAGATAGACACCCAGCCAGAACAGTCAAAGTTTGGCAGAGTTATAAGCAACTGTGTCTTACAATGGGATGTGGCAGACAACCTGAAGAACCGCGGTACTATCAATGCAGCCTTCAGCAACAAATGGAAATTACTTGTATGAGAGTGTGAAATTTGTCAGCAGCTTTTTATGCTTCGTACTATGCCTCATCAGTGAAACACAGGGTCATCAGTGAAACACAGTTTTTACTTTTGGCTCTTGAATGTCTGCTCAGCTGTAAAGTGACAGGAGAAAGAGCAATAATATAGCATACCTTCCACTTCCATAAAAAATATGCCACAAAGTGCTGCAAGTGCAAG